TAGGCTGATGTCATCGCAATAGGCGTGGCCAGAACCTATGTGGCATATGTGTTTGTGTCTGTCTTTATGTCAGTATGTGTATATCTGCATATGTCTATATATGTTAATATTTGCATATCTCTGTGCCCACATCGCTAGGTCGTATTTGTCTCTAAGTATTTGCACTTGTGCCCGTGTTTGCTTGTCTGTCTGTGTGTGTGTGCAACTACGAGACTACAGTTTGTCTGTACGTGGGTGTTTCTCTCCATATGTATGCATATCTGTAAGTTACCTCCGAAAAGCAGTTCTCCGTCTTCTTACTTTCCCCCTTTCGCATGTTGTAACTGGACTGCCATTGGATTGTTTCATGCTAATGAACAAGGTATTGCATTGGTATGCCATTGCCTTCTGCAGGATAGCTGAACATGGAATCGACTCCTTGTCACCAACCGTTAAAAGTTAGCGACCACGCTGTGCATAGCCTTACTTTAGTTTGTGACTCAAACCTGGAGCTTCTGATCCAAAAGTAGGGATGCTTCCATCACTACGGAAACGTTGTTTTCCTCTTATGGGACAATCTAGGTTTAGAGTAAGGGTAGAAAATCTATGGAATTCTTTACTACAGAGGACTGTGCAGGCTAGGTCATTAGGTATATTGAATGCTGAGGTAGATTTTTAATAAGTAATGGGAAAAAGCAGGAAAAAATAAATTGAGCATTAACAGATCAACCATGATCTCTCTGAACAGCAGAGCAGACTGAAGGACCTACTTCTACTCCTACCTCTCTCGGTCACTACACCTTCACAGAGAACAACTCATACTGCTTAATATCAAGCCAAGTGTAACTTATCCAGAAGACCATGAAAATAAGGTCTTTTGTTATTTGTCCTGGGTATCAAAGCCCCTCACAAACAAGAGGGCATAGGTTTTAGGTGAGAGGGTTAAGATTTAAAAAAGAGAGAGTGGTGCGTATAATGAACCAGTTGTGAGAAGAAGTGGTAGAGGATAGTATAATTACAAGTTAAAAGACATTTAGACAGGTACTTGGATAGGAAAGGTTTAGAGAGATATGGGCCAAACGCAGGTAAATAGGTCTAGTTCAGTTTAGGAAACTTGGTTGGCATGGACAAGTTGGGCCAAAGGGCCTATTTCTGTGCTGCATGACTCTATGAACTTGCCGTTGCTTCCAAAAGGAAACATCAAGGGCAGACAGAAAAGCACTCTAAGGTGATTGTTACAATTTCCAAGCTAGAAACTGGTAGCACAATGTGGCCACCTGCTGAAATATACTTATTTCCTTACAACATCGCAACTTTACACAAGTAATTCACAAATTGTAATTTCCTGTATTAACTGGTGTTAACAATGCACAACAAGATCTTGGTACCTTACTTAGAGTTCTAGTCTCAGATGGCAAGTTAAAGGTTAACCTCTGATTCATTCTCACTTCAAGATTAGCTTGTCAATCTATTTTTGCTTTTGTACAAAAAAAAATGGTGAGGGAGCTATTTCAACTAAGGTATCTGTTTGATTAAGTTTCCTGAAAGGCCAATTGAATGAAAACAATAAAAGCTATTAACAAATGTAGAATTTGTCTCAAAAGTTGAGCAAGAACACATGTATGATAATCCAACCAATTACACAAATTACAGACAGTTTGATTAGCAAGCAAACATTGTAGCATGAAACAATGAAAAATGTTTTCCCTATCTAAACCGTTTTTACAACTTTTATCAGCAATATTTTGAATTCTGAAGTCTAATTTTCTTTAACCTTAACCAAAGGAGACCACAAACATATCCAATATCTTCCCAATCTGTTTGAGACTAAAACAAGGAAATGTGGATGCTGAAATATGAAACTAAACAGAAGCTTAGCAGCTCTGGCAGCATCTGTGAACAGAAAGCAGAGTTAATTTTGAGTCCAGCAACCATTCTTCAGAACCACCTGTGTCATATTTAATCCCGAGATGATCTGATAATCAATTATCCTCACCATTGCTATGACCACCCATTTCCATTTCAGTAACATCATCCAAGTGGACTCTAAACCGCATCAAATCATCTGTTGTTAAAATCCTCATTCATGCCTTTCTTACCTTGATACTTAACTATTGCAACACACTCATTGCCTGGTCTCCCATATTCTATGCTTTGTAAACTTTGTCATCTAAAAGTCTTTATTTTCTTATGTTCAGTTTTCTATGAATAAGTGCGTCTGAAAAATTGAGGCCTTCTTCATTGAGGAAAGTGTGTTGCTGAGCAACAAGATTAACAGCTCTCAACTTACCTCCATAAAACTCATCCCAGAGAAGGTGTACGTTTTCTGACACTATGCAAAGCCATGGCATCATAAAAAACAGGAGGAAGTAGTTCTTTAATAGAAAAAAAAGGAAATAGTCTAAGTTGAGGACAGGACTTTGCTTGGTTTAAAGACAAGGCAAGGTCTAGGTTGGAATGGAGTACAAAGAAGCAAAGATGCTTAGGCAGATAGCATAGCTCGTGCTTATCCATTAGACTAATAGTGGCTTTGATTTGACTACATAAAGATTAACTTGAGCTTGACATCAGAGGAAACCTCAGTTTCCTGTAGCGGAGGAAAAATGACCGTAATAACAATCATCCTTGCTGCACCATCCAAATTATCAGATGTTGCACAGCATCCACCCAGTTGAAGCAGCAGGGAGTTTCCTTCCTGTCCCTGTAAAAAAAAGAACCGATAGCATACAAGCCTCCACCATTCCCAATTCAAGACTTGACTGTTTACTGACTGACAGAAGAATGCCTTTGGGAAATTTTCTTGTTTCTGTTGTCATTGCTCTTCCTAATGTTTAAATGCAGTAAAAAGGATAAATGGAAAACAAACAAAGTGACCACAGCAATATCCCAAGGTTTCTGACTCACTGAGAGATAATAAGAACTGCTGATGCTGGAGTCAGAGATAACAGTGTGGAGCTAGAGGAACACTGCAGGCCAAGCAGCATCAGAGGAGCAGGAAAGTTGACGTTTCGGTTTGGGACCCTTCTTCAGAAAATTTTCTGAAGGGTCCCGACCTGAAACGTCAACTTTCCTGCTCCTCTGATGCTGCCTGGCCTGCTGTGTTCCTTCAGCTCCATACGGTGTTATCTCCCATGGTTCTGATTGGTTTAGACCTCCTCATTGCTGGCTGTACTTGTTGGAGAGTATTTTAGCAGATAACAGTACAATTGGGTTTGTAATTGCTTCAGCTAAGGATCCAAACTGATAGGAAAAATCCACATGCAAACCAAACTTTTGATATTTTTCAAAACAGCAGCTGCCAGCAAAACTTGATGTGGAGGTGCTGTCGTTGGACTGGGATGGACAAAGTCAGAAGTTACATGACACCAGGCTTAGTCCAACAAGTTTATTTAAAATCACAAGTTTTCTGAGTGCTGCTCCTTCGTCAGGTGAAGTAAGTGAAGACAGTTTTAATATGGAAGGGCAAAATGGGTCGGTGCAGGCTTGGAGCACCGAAGGGTCTGAGCCTGTGCTGTATTGTTCTTTGAAAACTTGTGATCCCAAATAAACCTGCTGGACTATAACCTGATGTTGTGCGACTTCTGACCTTGGCCGGCAAAACAAAGAACAGGAAATCGATCCATACAGTCTCACAAAATAATAGATACACAGGCAGCAATTTTCAAGCTGTAATCAGAAAGGGAAACAGAATTGAAGACCCTTCAGCCTGTTGAACCTGTCCCAGCTGTAGAAAGAGCAGTTAGATTAGTCCGATCTCTTGTTTTTCCTAACCTCAGCCCTGCATATCTTTGTTTTTCAAATGTATATCCAATCATTTCTTGAATTACTGAACCTATTTTCACCATAATTTCAGGCAGTGGACAATGTATATCCCTCCCAACACCATAACCTCCTTTTGTCCCCTTTAGAAATTTCTGACCTCTATACCACTGGAAACAGTTTCTCCTATCAAAATCCTTGGTTTCAACACCTCCATTAAATCTCCCCTAACCAGGTCAGGTCTAAGGGGAACATGTCTAACTTCTCTAATGTCACCATTAAAAATCCTTGATCCTAATATCAGCCAGTAAATCTCTTCTGCAGTGACTCCAAGGACTTGACTCAAGTCATAAAAAGGTGGTGCTCAGAATTGGACACAATTAATTACTTGAAGTCAAACCAGTGATTTATAAAAGTTTATCGTAACTTCCTGCTTTTGTACTCTAGGCTTTTATTAAATCAAGCCAAGGATCCTGTACACATTTTTTTTGCTCTTTTTGAAAAAGGCAGCATTATAACTCGTCATGGCCCCTTCCATGATCTCTGTTCCTAAGCCCCTTTAAAGTCATAATAAAACAGCAGGAGGCCATATAGCCTATCAAATCCATAGTAATTCTCTAGAATAATCCAGTTAGTCCAATATATTCATTATCTCCATAAGACTGCAAATTTATTTTCAAATGCCTTAATTTCCTTTTGATAATGGATTATCTTCCTGATACTGATAGCATAATTGTGAACAACTTTATATACTTATCTAACCAGTCATAACCATGCATACCTCTATTTGATTTTTCTTCCAACAGCTCCAGTTTCTCCATCCTAACTTTACAGCTAAACTGCTGCATCCCTGGAACTATTGTGGCAAATCTCCTTTGCACCCTTAAGAATTCTCACATCCTTCCTAAAGTGTGGTGACCAGAAGTGGTTATAATACTCAGATTTCATAATTGCTCAGCATAACTTCCTGACATTGTATTCAATATCTGTTTATGATTCCAAGCTCATAAATGCTATGCTGATTGCTCTTTCAAATGTCCTTACACATTTGAAAGTTTGTGCACATTTACCCAGAGGTCCCTTTGTTTCTGGAATTGTGCCATTAAGTCTATGTTATTTCTCCCTACTCCTTCTGCTAAAGTGCGTCACCTTGCACTTCTTTATATCAAATTTAATTTGCTACTTGTGTGTTCATTCTGCTTTCATATCTATATGGCCTGTTGCAGTCAATTATTAACATCCTCATTGTTTGCCACTCCAAGTTAAGCATCATTGATAAAAGGATTTTCTTTTATTTTCCAATATCCAAATAATTAGGATATAAATTAAAAATGTATATTTATATTATATAGCAAGCACAAAAGCAGTGATCTTAGTTTTGACTCTCAGGGAACACCACTGTCTACCATCCTTCATTCTGAAAAATATCAATTTGCCACATTACTGTTCTCCGTGCTTAAGCTAATGCTTTATCGAACCTGACACTGACTCTCATATTTCACAAGCCTCACTTCTGTTAATCAAATTTCTGTGCAGTTCTTTCTTAAAATTCATAGATAACATCCATTGCATTCCCTTCATTGACCTTGTTACTTTGTGAAAAAAAATCAATTAGATTGGAAAACATGCTAAACCTTTTAGAAATTGGATCTGGCATGACTAAATTAACTCTACCTCCCTGACCAACCTCTTATTAGCTGCTTTTCACATGACAGTGGGAAACAAAAATTTTGGGCTCTCTGTGTTTACTGTCATGCTACTGCTTTTTATTTGTTCATGGGAATGTGGGCACTGCTGGCTAAGCAGTTTCCTTCTCTAAAGAACATTTAATGAATGGGATGGTGTTTCTGACAATTAGCACAGTCATCATTTGTCTCTTAGTTCCAGATTTTTATTCAATTCAAACATTAGTGTGTGTAGGGAATGAACTGCCAGAGGAAAGCGGTGGAGACTGGTACAATTACCACATTTAAAAGGCATCTGGATTGGTACAAGAATAGGAATGGTTCGGAGCGATATGGGCCAAATGCTGGCAAATGGGATGAGAATAATTTAGAATATCTGGTCAGCATGGATGAATTGGACTGAAGGATCTGTTTCCTGCTTTACATCGCTATGACTCTATAACCATCTGGCATGATGGGATTTGAACCTGGATGGACCCCAGATTAACAGTCTGGCAATATTACTACTAGGGCATCACCTCCCTGATTTCACATTTCTCTGCACTAACTTTCAGGTCCAATGATCTGCTCACTTCACCAGTCTCCCTTTGTCATCCTTATATTAGAATTCAGTTAATTACCCAAGTTTCACACCAAAGATTTCTTACATCTCTAAATCTATCCTGTAACTCATGCATTTTCCCAATCAAGTGGATCTCGAAAAGGAAACTGACACCAATATTCCTATATCACCACACCATCCAGGCTCACTGATTTGGAAAGTTGACACTGTATTTGTTTCTGGGAACCAATTCAATCAGAATATTCTTAGATGAAAAGTGAGCAACAAAGCAGTCCCTCTAGATGGGAGAATTTGACATGAGGTGGTCAATGACAGCTCTCCTTTATAAACATATATTCAGGGAATACATTTGGTGATTTTTAATAGCTACACAAATCTAAACTCTGCAATCACTGATATTTTTTCATTCAACTAGCAAAAGAAGTACAGATTTTGTGTTCTGTATATGCATAATACAAAAAAGTATATTGCTGTATATCAGTATAAACAATGTTAATGCTGGAAAGGGACACTAAATGGCAGCATAAAACAGCCCCAAGGCAGGTACAGCACAGGCTAGATGCAGTGTACAGCCCTGATATAATATCTCCAGCTCTGAACAATGCATCTGTCTAATAGTTTTCCATTTCTCATACCAAATAATCCACCATTCCTTCTCAGAGAGATTGCCCATCAGGTGCTAATTCTGGGTCTTCTTCTCTACAGAAGTGAGTAAAGTTGGCCATATTCATTTCACAGAGAGTCCTTACAGGTAGCACTTAATGTGGACACTTTGATTGGGCTGAGTATGGATGGTCATGGTGGTGATGGAGATGACCGATCTGTATGAAACCCTTTGTGCTTCTCCAGACAAATTCTTATCAAATTATTCTGAAATATTTGAAGCATCTTGTAGGCCTGGATCTTTGTCACAATTTTGGTTGGCTGCATCAGTTGCTTCAGTCACTCAGGTATGTTATCCCGCACCAAGGCAGGAAATTGCTCTCCTCCTTCACAAAGCTGAGAGTACACCGCTCGATAAAGGTGGTAAATGGATTGCTCTGAAGGCATGGAGGAAAATAGAATGGGAAGCAGCTCTTCTGCCATAGCCTGAAGAGAAACAAAAGTCAGCAACAGTCAGTTCCCAACTGTAAATCTGATTTACATTCAGTTTATATACTCACATCTAGAGGGATGTACATTACTACAAACTCACTATCGTCCCACTCCTGACCCATGCTGATTATTTCATTCTGGTAAGCATCACAACTTAGTCAATTCAGTTCCTAGTTGCCTTCTGCAGTATTCTCCAGACACAGTGACCTGGAGTGGGATTTGGATCTGATTCAAAGTATGCCAGCATATATCCTCAACTAAGGTAGAACCCCGGTCTCAGCAGTCTCTGTGCCTCAGTACATAATGGAAACATACTTCCCCATCTAAACAGGCACAATAGAAATACCTGAACTATTCTGCTGTTATTTGGATTTGGAGAGATGCTCTGTTCTTATTTTTGGCAAAGAAAGAAATACATTGTTTTCTTGTGAACAAGAATGAGTTAATCTGACACTAATTCAAGCACTGCATAAAGGGCCATAGTAAAATCTGGTTCCTATACTCATGAATTAAACCATTATAACAAAGATCATGAAGTAACAGAAAGATGATATTTTTCTTGTTTTGTGATAACACCCTCGAATTACTCTGCATAATGAGAACAAATAATTCATTTCTCGACACAGCAATCAATCAATCATTCTTCAATAGCACAGAAAAAGCAGAGCAGTAAAGTGATCCAGTGAAAGATGTCATGATAATGTGTTTCAGTGAGTAGAACTCTCACTGGAGTAAAGACATAGCTCAGCACATAGTCCACAAGATACAATTCGAGCTGACCCACTCATGAAATATTGTCTCAGAGGGTAATTTTAAGACAGAAGTTGGAGCAAGGCTTCATCTCCTGTTGAAAACATGGAAAAACCTAAAAAGCATTGAAGATTAGGGGTCTTGGCTACTGTTCATCCCTCCACAAATGTCACTAAGAAGCAAAATAACTGGTTATTTGGATTTGTTGTTATTAACAAGACTTTGTTATGCAGAATGTTGCTGCGTCCTCGCTTATATTTAACCTTCAATGACAAAAACAAGTGAACTGTTCATTATGCTGTTGTCAAATGCACTGCAGTGTTTCCAGTAACTACGTTTTAAAAGTATATTGTTGGCTGTAAAGCACATGGCATTTCTTTTAACCATGAAAGGCATTTCATAAACACAAGACTTTGTTTCTTTAACTGGCTCAAAAAGATCATAACCAAAGTTGCTCACTATTTCACACTGTAATACATTAATCAGGTAGCAAGAAAATAACCAGGAAAATTTCTTGGGTACTTTCGTTGGAGACAGAAGCAACAAGAGTAATTGTGAATCTCTTTCATTGAAATACTCTGTTTTAATATTGCAAATATGTACAGTAGTTCCAATAGAAATTACCTTTTGAATCTGAATCTGTCTTTGGAGAGTACGTACTTGAAACCGGAGGGCCTCCATCTCCTTCAGCTCCTGCAGTGTGGAGTAGAATAGGAGGGGTGCGGACTTGCTGCCAAAACATTTGCATTTTTTGAAGTTGACTGTCCAGCAGTCCCCAAACTTCATCCAAAAAGTTTCAGCTATTGTCAGATAAAACACAGACAGTCAAATGATGACATGGGAAACACTAGGCAGCTCTGGTGGATAAATACCTTCCAAAATGTGATAAAACCAGACAGACCAAGGCAAATCCTGTCACAGTACTTGGGCAATGCTCAATTAACTCACAAACTGTGGAATTGCAGACCTTAATCTCGGATGGGAATCGTCATTATGATATTTCTGATCATGCATATTTTAGCCAAGGTAATTGCATTCTGGGTGAATACCAACTGGGAGAAAGTTAGGATTGCTTGCAATGTGTCTCCTAGTAGATCTGCTCAATGTCAATCACTATTTGGTTGACATTGTGAAAGATGACTTGATTGATGCAAAGGTAATAGTAAAATCCCCATAGTCTTATCAGACCATACAGCTGCTCTCTCATTAGAGAGATAAGACTGGTGGTGGCTTAACCCCAGGGTCACCACACCTCAGGTAAGGGCTAAGGTTAAGGAGGAGAGTCCTTCATGGTAATCTCAGCTGGGGCAGTAATTGAACACTTGTTGTTGGCATCCCTTTGCATTTCAAACCAGCCAGCCAACCAATTGAGCCCCTTGCACCAGATGCTTTAACAGATTTATGCCTGATCTAAACTTGCAGGGGAGTAACATAGTTGAGAAATCCAAACTTACATTTTCTTTATGGGCAGGAACTGATGACAATTCTGTCCTTCTTTTCCACTATGTGCGTAAAGCAGGACAGGCCACACATGCTCAGCCCAGCATTCCTGATTCTTAATAAAAACCAAAAGAACTGGTCTGGCAGAACCTGTGGAGAGAAATCTAAGTTAACATTTCAGGTTGAATGACCCTTCATCAGTTCTGACATCAACCCGAAATGTTAACTGCAATTTCTCTCTACAGATGCTTTTCTGCAATTTCCGATTTTGTTCCCGATTCTTCTTAGCAACTGTAAACTGGGGGAGGGTTCTGTCATCCTCAGAATGGAGGGTCTGTGTAATCGTGATGGCATGAAAATCCATCAATGAGACCAGTGGCAGCAGGAAAAGATAAGATGGGACTGGGTGATGATCAGCAGCGGTAGAAGAGGCTTAACTGGAAGTGTACAGCTGTAACAGGCTCTGGACAGTCAGAGGTCACAGAAGCCCTGGGAGGCATTAGATTCAAATAGTTGGCGTTGGAGCTCACAAGTAGTCCTGATAATCCAGAGCAGCTGAAAGTGGGGTTAAAGGAAGCCACAAGCAACATGTGCTTGGTGCAGCTGAGAAATATTGGAACCCTCAGGGTAATGTTAGCATAGGGAAGCTTGTTGTCTGCCAAAGAGCTGGCATTGTGCCTTGGATAAGGTGCTGGAGTGCAGTCAAGGGAATTCGGTGGTGTGCAACTTTGGGGGAAGAAAGTAACAGCCCATGAGCAGTCATTAAGAAATAAGTGACATAAGAATTTTCAAGGAATTTCAGAAGCTAATCTTTGGAAATGAAGAATTGGAAACCCTTGTAGAAGAGACAGTGTCTTAGTGAGATTATATCACCCACCATATCAGTAATGTCAGCTGGTGGGGTGGGGGAGAAACTATGTTGCTAAGAAGTCAGTGGAATCGGTCTTAACTGCCTCTATATCTGTACTCTGAGATATTTGACCACGTATTTTCTGTTAAATCATACATACTCTGGCTAATTCAGGATGTTAGAGTATAACTTGTTTAGTAGATTGTTTGCTTCTCTAACGTTGGAAAAACTGTGCAACCTTGTGGCTTTATTCTTTTACTGTATTCCTGGGATTTCAAACTTTATTTTATGTATAAAAAGTTACTGTTCCCCAGCAGACAATAACAAATTTAGTTTGTCAACAGTATTGTAACAATGAAAAGACACTTTAGTTGAGACATTGGCTGGCTAGGAATTGATAAAGATGAGAAACAAGAAAGGCTGGCGATACATATGACAGCCAAAAGAAATGCAGATGCTGTAAATAAGAAAAATACAGTTTGCTGGAAGAGCTCAGCAAGTCTGGCAGCATCTGTGGAGAGAAAATCAGAGTTCACATTTCAGGTCAAGTGACCCTTCCTCAGAGCTGATGATAGCTGGGAAAATGGCAGTTTATGTGAAGAAGATAGGGTGGGGACGGGTGAGGAGTAAACGATAGGTGGGGATAATCTGCTATTATCACATAGTCTGCTGTTACACACAACCCATTGTTAGCCACTAACAGTCTCCATTAACAGCTATTCACCCTCCTAGCCAGATTGTTATCCAGTCCTTTGTCTGTCATTTACCTATCATTTACTCCTTACACCCTCCCCCAACCCTATCTTCTGCATATAAACTGACATTTTCCTGCCTACCATCAGTTCTGAGGAAGGGTCACAAGGCTTGAAACGTTAACTCTGATTTCTCTTCACAGGTGCCGCCAGACCTGCTGAGCTTTTCCAGCAACTTCGATTTTTGTTTCTGATTTACAGCATCCGCAGTTCTTTCGGTTTTTAAAGGCATTTGATAACGTGCTAGATAAAAGTGTTACCAGCAAAGTTAAAGTCAATGAAACAAAGGGAACAATGAAAGCATGACTGAAAAAAACTGGCTGTGTCACACAAAGGGTGGTAATATATGGCTATTTGTACTGGAGGAACATATATACACAAATTCCTAGGGACCTGTATTGCTGCCATTGTTTTTCTTTATCCGCATTAATGACCTTGACTTGGGTGTGCAGGGCCCAATTTCAAAATATGTTGATGATACAAACTTCAAGATCTGTGGACTGTGAAGAGAGTTAGTGATTGTCTTATTTAAGACAGCCAGACTGTAGAATTGACAGATATGTGGTAGATAAAAAGTAATATAGAGGAGTCTGAACTGATCCATTTTGATACCAAAAATGATGGAGAGACAATATGAAGGATACAATTCTCCTTCTATAGCGTCTTCTTAAACCAGTGGTCTCTGCCACCTAGAAGGACCACAGCAACATCACCACCTCCAAAACTCCCTCCAAACCACATATCATCCTGACTTTGAACAAAATACTATTCCTTCTCTGCTACTTTGTCAAAAGCCTGGAACCATCTCCTTAATTGCACTATTGGTGCACCTATAGCACGTGCACAGTGGCAATTCAATAACGCTACCACCTGCTCAAGGAGAACAAATATATGTCTTGCAAGTGATACTCTCACAGCAGGAATGACCAAATAATAGCAATTCCAAAGAGAATCCAAGAGAAGCAGGATATGGGGGTACATGGATTCAAATTGTTAAGGCAGGGCAGGATGAGTAAGTAATAAGGAATACAGGATCCTGGGATTTTAAATAGAAACATAAAATACAAAAGCATAGGTATGGCAAACCTCTATAAAACACTACACAACTCTGGGCACAGAACTTTAAGAAGGTTATAACGTTTTAGACAGGCAGAAAAGATTTATTACAAGGGTACCAGAGACAAAGTCTTCAGATATGTAAACAGGATGGAGAAGCTAGGACTGGAGTTTGCCTTAGAGAAGACTAAGAGAAGATTGCTGGGGTGTTCAAAATCAAGAGGTACCTGGACAAAATAGATATGATAGACAATATCCATTGTCAGTAAGGTCAAGACCCAGAAGACAAAAATTTAAGGTGATGGTAAAAGAACCATAGACAGACAAGGAAAATGTTTTATTTAACACAGCACATGATTAGGATTTTGAATGCACTGCCTGAGATATTTTTTTTCTAAACAGACTCAAACGAGGCATTCACCAGGAAATGGAATAATTATTGGAATAGAAAAAAAATTACAGGGCTACGGGCATTGTGGTTGAGTGAGTCTAGCTGAGTTGCTGTCAAAGACAGCTGACACAAATATGGCAGGCCAAGTGACCTCCTTCTATGCTGTACTCATTCTAGGATTCTACTTGCTCCAGACCTTTAATGTATATAACTGAGCCAGCCTGAGGTAACCGGAATCAAATGAAGTATCAAAATCAAGATATAATTCACAGCAGATATTCCTGGTTGGGTGAAAAGATAAATTACTCACCAGCCATGAGCTGCTCAATCTGTTGAATGAGGCTTGATACAGTATCTTGGCATCTCTCCAGCATCTGAAGACTCTCATGTTCACGCTGACAGCTGAGGGGACCTTTGACAAACAGGAGTACAATTAATTATCTTCTTTACACACTATCAGAGGAATCCTAGTACTGAATGAGAGCAATATTTTTGAGAAATTTTATTAACAGACACAGATTATTAGATCAATGCCCCATCGAGACTGCAAATGGAAATAAGTGTTTTGGCTTAACTGGCCTATGATATGCCTTTTTCCCAAAACAAAATGTTTAATTCAAATATTAAACAGGTGAATATGTTTTATTCAATTTCAAACAAGAATAAACAGCATTTAAAATATGAAAAACATCTGAAGTAAAATATATACATACTAGGAACACGAAAAAAAAGCAAATTAAGCATAGATTCTTGAACTAATGAAGAAGTTGTCAATTTGATGAACCACATTCTTGATAGTTTATTTTTCAATTTCATTCAGCTGCCTTGCTGCTGAAGACTTAGAATATTTAAAAATGTCCAATTTCTTCAAACTTTTCAAAGAATTTCTTTGTCTAAAACAATAGTTCTGGAAATAAACAGAAGTTGATCTTTCAAAATCAAGTAAAATTAAGTCTAACTATACAAATTGCATTAAAAATAGGAAGCATATCTTACCAAATACAAAATTTGATTTCCAAAACAGTTATGAATGTTTGATACGTGTGTACAAATGTATTAATCATCAACATAAAGCAAATCAAAAGAGGGTCCTGTAGCACAGTGGTAGTGTCCCTACCTCTGGACAAGGAGGCCCAAGTTCAAGTCCAAACTGCTTCAGGTGTGTAGTAACAGATTTAATAAAACAATTTGATCCCAGAACAAAGACAAAGTGGACATTACATTTACATCTACACACACATTCTCTCTCTCTCCTGGAAATATCAAGTATGGCACTTGCCAAATATATTGATTTACTTGTTTCTAGTTCCAACCCTCTCCCTCCATCGTATTCATTGTTGTCTGACTATTTTAAATTAAGACGATCCGTGTTTTTCGTTAACTGAGCTTTTTATCCTCCTTCCTCCTTTATTCTCAGTGTTCAGATCAATATTCACTACCCAACTCTGTCTATACAGGGACTGCCACACTGTTGAGGCCCTTTTGCCTCTGCCCTGGCCTCACCTACTAACTGCTTTTTGATATTTCTTCTCTCCTTTCATCTTTGCTTATGTCCTGATCCTTAGTTCTTCAATACAAGAAAAATGCTACAATAGATATGTTCAATGGAATTTAGAAATTCTGCTAACTTTCTCTCCATTTCAAGCTACCTACACCAGCTAGTGAAAGCGTACCATGAACATCCCTGGAGATGAACAGCACTGTCATCAACTACCTTGCAGTGGAGGCTTTCTTTGGAATATGACTCCATTCTGTTGTTTCCAATAAAGTCTAGGAGTGTTACTCCTATTCTGTCTTTTGGAAAGTAACCGTTCTTTCCTCAGAGAACTTGTCCTTCTGTACAAATTGTGCTTGGCATCTAAGCATCTCTTCCTATGGTCAACATTTAATATATTGCAAATAATTTATAAAGGACATACCTGAAGAATTGAGTAGGGGATCTGTGCGTATATATTGGTCAATACATTTGTAAAGCTCACGGACGTTGTCCAATTGTTCTTCAATCTGTGCATAACTTACAGGTGGGAGCTGTGAATGGAACTTCACTCTGAGGTTAAGCAAAGTTTTGGAAGGTTTTATTAAGTGTTCCTCTTCATTACACTGGCTTTTGACTGAATGGATTCAGGCACTGGGCATGAACTGGAAATGGAGTCGAGACCCTATTAAAAGGGAAGAGACTACATATGGGGAGAGGTTGAAGTGCATCAACACTCCCAAGAAATTTTTTTTACTCGGTAAGTTTCCTTTAAAGTTTCTGCTTGTGTTACAGTGGGGCAAGTATGACCCTTTCAAATGGGGCACTTAATAGGTATTTGTCACACAAGTAGAGGGATATACATGATCCAACTAAGACCACAATTATTGGATTGGAGTTACATGTTTATAAATGAACTGTTGTAAATAAAAGCTTCTAAGGTTTTGGAGTAGACTTGTAGCTCGGGCTGTGGGTGTTGAGGTTGGTTGGCTCGCAGATGCTGGTTTCTTGTTTCGCAGATGTTTTGTTACCGTGCTGGGTAACATTCTCAGTGCAGCCTTCGATAAAGCATCGGTGTGTTTTCCCGCCTGGTTTTTAAACTCTGGGGTCTGTTGAGATGCATTGCCTCACTTCTGGTTTTCCTTCGTAGTGGAATGTATACGGGGTCGAGTTCAATGTGTTTATTAATAGCATGCTTCGTGGAGTGCCAGGCTTCTAGGAAATCTCGTACCTGTCTCTGCCTAGCCTGTCCCAGGATCTTGAGATTGAACTCGACCCCGTATACATTCCACTACGAAGAAAAACTGGAAGTGAGGCAATGCATCTCAACAGACCCCAGCGTTTAAAAACCAGGCGGGAAAACACACCGACGCTTCATCGGAGGCTGCACTGAGAATGTTACCCAGCACGGTAACGAAACATCTGCGAAACAAGAAACCAGCTCGGTGAGCCAACCAACCTCAAAATAAAAGCTTATTAAGTGTGTAAAGATGAGATTCAAGTTCTATCCTTCATAACTAGGTCACCTGAAATAGAACGTGGTGGAATCAACCTTTCTGAAACAGAAATCGATGATGACTATCCAGCTTTCAACATGATCAGCAATTCCTTCTTGTGTTAACTCTTTCCACTGACGTTAATTCAGATATTCAAAAAAAAAAATCAGAAAACCAAAATAGAAAAACTCTGAGCAATTTAATTTTGTGCCTGTTAATTGTATCTACCCACATTCCACGATCTTCAACGTGAAAGGATACTGCTGACTGAATTCTTTGCATGAAGCTTGCCTTCTGAATTTCATCAGTTTGGCTGGTAGACACCTGTCCCCATAAGCTAGACAACAAAAACAAAATGAATAATAGGTGTTTGCCTGTGCCCACCTCTTTCAAACTCAACATTTATTATCATGGTTGGGATATTCCTATGAGGAACTCCTTCTAGGTATGAGAGAGAAGATTAGGGGCAATTTCACAATTTGGCATAACAGCGAAAAGGAAAAGGGCCATCACCCATACTAAAAACGCATGGGGTGGTGGTGGTCGTGATAGTGTTGTAGTAGGTGTGTGTGTGTATAGATGTGCAGGGGAATCCTGCTGATCACCACTCTTATGTGCTCAGCCAGGAAATATTGGGGAGGTTGAGAAGTACTCTGTGTACAGTACCTTCTTTCTGTTCCATTTATTATTACTGAAAAAAGTCAATGGGTGAAACAGAACAAATACATTAAAACACTGAAAATGTCTGAAATCAAGGGAGATGGGATATGTGCGTCAGGTTACCCTTGAGGCAAACATGTATTCAGCTTCTTCAACCCTCTTCCAAGGTTGTGCTTACCGTGCATTTCTACATTGCTGCTTTCTCCACTCTAAAGGAAGTTTCAGTGTTGACCTGTGAAGAATCAAGAATGATTTATAGTTCAAAGTCCGTCAACATCTCAATTTGGTAAACAATGGAAAACTGTTAATTATTCAAGCCAAGATCAATCAGAACTTAGCTATTCACAATGGAATTTACAGTAAATCCAAGTTCCCCATTTTCTTCTCCTGACTGACTTACACTCATCCACTATTATCTAACATACTAAATTTTCAACTTGTCCCTCCATAACCTTGCCCCATCCTTGCTCAGCTACCTCCTCTTTAAATCTCTTCCTGCATGTTTCAGTTCTTAAATGCTCACATTTTTCATCACCTCTTTACTCTTCCCTATGGCACCACCCTAAGCAATCCCAATCTTTCTCTCCTGATGTCCTCCTTAAGTCTTTCCACTTCTCTCTGTACCCTTAAGAAAACTCAATTGGCTGGGAAACCTTCCACAATCACTGACAGAGTCTCACATTCATTTCTTTTCTCAGAACATTGAAAGGAGCTGGTCTATATAACTAGATGCTGACAACAACATTAACACTGGAATTACACCTTGAAAAATCAAAGTTATAGATAAATAACGATTCTTTTGCACAACCTTTTTTAATTTAAATCTTTACTCCTCTAGGATTAATTATAGATCATCTTAATCCTGGGCATTGAGCACCCCCTGACGGCTGATCGAGAACTCCACCTGCTTAGTGGTACTGAGCTGCAAGCTCTGGTTTCTGGTGAACATTGCAGATGAGGCAATGCAGCATTTGAAGCAACATCTCATAACCACTCTAAGCTAGGGAGGAAGATAGGGATCTCATTGAATGCACATTAGATAATGCACTGGGATTGGACCCAACAAGAGAGCTAGCCTTCATTCAGAACTTTATCTCATATTACTGCCATCAGTTCGAAAAGCCTGCAATCAGAAGTTAAAACAAAGAATGGGGAATTTGGCTTGCTGAAGTCTTGTGGAGGGAATTAAAACAGATTCACACAGTCAACCCATATTATTCAGTCCCATTATATTTACTTCTTGTCTTCAGTTCAGGTACTTTACCTTATTCACATCTTCAATGCAAATGCATTAATTAGATAAATGTAAAATACAGCACATCAAAAAAAAAGACAAGATATTTGATGCTTGCTGCCGAAATAAATAATATTAAACCTCAAGGAACCATGTAGACAAATGCTGGCTTAGAAAAAAAAGCACAAACGAAGGTAAATTTATGATCCTCTTACCCACTTCCTTGAAGGGTGAATAATTTGAATTTCTCCATGGAAGAGCTTTCATTTTGGAGCATGTTCCCTTCAGAAGCACTCAAAGGCACAGTCTCATTAATACAATTGGCCCTCTGCTGGCTCATGACAGGGGATGTCATTGTGGGAGCAGTGTCTGTATATGCAGAAATCTGTATGCTGTGTGGTGTGACTGTTCTTTGAATAATGTCTGTATCTTCCGGGATCAGTACATTATGAGATACGATTGTTCTTGGAATGGTTTTCAAGGACCAGAGCCTACTTTGTTGAGCTGTGTTTCCCACCCTGTCAACAGAGGCAGATTGTTTTGTTTGTTGTATAGCAGCAGTTTTAACTTGGCTTGGAGCATGCAAGGAGCCTCGAGCTAATTTCCCCACAGCTGATGACATAGACTTTCTCTTCGCTTCCTGCTTGGTTTTATATGGGAGCTTCAATGCATAAGATCCTGGTTTCCTACATGGGACAGCATGTGTTGTAACTCTCTTCCCAGCAGTTCCAACTGCTAAATGGCTTGATAAGTACCTATCCTTACACACTGGTGCAGTCACTTTACTACAAATATTGTTCACATTGGCACCAGCTACCTTTTTCTTGCTATTTGACCATAGTGTCCTTGGCAAAACGTCCTCTAAAGGTTTATCTCCGTTGTTGGATGCCTGTGATTGTTTGACATTGCCATATCCTGCATCATTTGTGCTGTCTTCAGAGGGGTGTGCTTGGATCTGCTTCATCCCAAACATGTTTTGATAGGTTTGTCGAATTCGTAGAGCTTTGGCCAGAGTTCTATTCAACAACTCCAGCTCCTGCAATTCCTCAAAATGAGGACCAGGCTCTAGAACAGAAAACAAAGTGAATCGAGGTCAGAATTCAGCTCCCATTCTGCAGTTTTAAACTCCGGCTTGTTAATCCACTGTATTAGTCAAGAGACCAGTGATTCTCAGGATCTACTGCCCATCACCATTGCTGGTGGGGAAAATTTGTTTCACGCATTTTGTGCTATAAAGAGATCAAGAATTTATGATACGTTTCGGAAAGTAAATTGCCCACAGTGATGCCTCAAGACATGCACGTCACAAGCAAAAACAGAAATTGCTGGAAAAGCTCAGCATGTTTGGCAGCATCTGTGGAGAGAACAAAGATGCTGCCAGACCTGCTGAGCTTTTCCAGCAATTTCTGTTTTTGATTCGGATTTACAGCATCACTGTTTTTGTTTTGGCTTTTATTTCATACAAGACATGCGTGTGTTAGTGAAACAGGGGTAAAAGGAAGATGACGACAAAGAGTTTAAAAACAAAGAATTCCAGCTCTATAAGAGCAGCTGCATGTTGCTAGGCTGTGTTACAAACCATGAGTCAAGCAGCCCCGCGAGCCTTTGATAGATCGTGGTGGTTAAGAGTTATATAATTCTTGTTCCAGAATAGGGCACCATGTTTAGACAAAGAAGTTTAAACATAGCCACTTACATCAGTTGGTAAAGGTAAAGTCACCATGAACCTTAATGGATAATATGGCTGCTCTCACATTACAGAGACACAACTGGCGGTGATTTTACCCCAGGGTCACCACAACTCAAACGTGGCGAGAAGGAGAGTCCTTCATGGTAACCTCAGTCAGTGCGGGAATTAAACCCACATTGTTGGAAAAATCTCTAAAGGAAAAGCCCAATGAAACCAGGGATGAGGTATCTGAAACAGACACTGGAAATGCCCCCGATACAGGCTTACCTCCAAAACAAAAAGCTTTTTAAAAAAAGACATTATTTGAGAACCTCTTTATCATGAGAACATTATTGTTAAATTTTGCAGAGGCTGTGTCACAAAGAACATCAACTTGAAAGTCACATTTTAACAAGTGAATGCAAAAGGGACAGTGCTTCAACGAGTTTTAGGCAAACTAATTCATCACATCACAATGCAAACAAAATCATGCTTCTAAAGAGAAAAAGGAAAATAGCAATCATCTGAGACCAGTAAACAAACCAGACACATGCAAATAGTCTCTGCTGGAAACAGAACTCTCAGGCTGCAGACTGCATTACCAGAGTCTGTGACTGAATTAGACTTGGCTTGATAGGTGGCTGAAAAAAAAAACAGGAGGATGAAGGAACGTGGGAACAGAGTGCATATGTGATTAGGATACTGCTTATGGATAACCACTAATATGAACTGGTTGGGCCAAAGACCTTGTTCATGTGTTGTAATGGATTAAGCTCAAGGACCTGAATGGCCTGCTCCTGTTTAGCTCTGTACAAAATAAAACATACAGTACATCAGATGCACAGATCACAAGTTCAAGGAGATTATACAGAAAACTAAGGCACTGCTTACACCACAAGTGTTCAGTACATCCACAATATTTACCAAAACACTTTGTGCTTCTGAAGGTTTTAAGGAAGGACAACGAGGAGGTAGAATTCATGAAAAAAAATTCTTTAAATTTCTACAAATTAAAAGTAACAGAAAATTCTGTTAAGAAGCAACTAGCTGAGGGCAGATATTGACAAAGCAGAAAAATGTGGTACATAGACCAAAGTCAGTCTCTTGAGATGGAAGTTTCAAGTTCTTGGAATATGAGTTCCTCACTCCTTTGAAAAATTCAGTCAGGCAAACCTGTCTTGCTGGAAGAGGCTCCATTCTTTGCTGGTTTCTCTTCAGCTCTGGGATTCCTGAGAATAAACATCAATAAAGCTTTAATGACAAACATGATATTCTAGAAAAAAGTTTGCCTTTAATTATCTAAACGGATTGATCTGTTTTGGGCACTAACGTTCTGCTTGAAGATTAATAACTGTACATATGTCTGAAACAGGAGGGCACTGAAATTTGATTCAAGATGAGGTCTAACCATTGCCTCCACAAATTAAACATGGATTGGTCTAAAATTTCTCTGCACACTACACTTAGTGCAAAAAGGGCTTTAGAGTAAAGCATTGTTTTCCACTCTATACCTACATCAAGTTCATTGCTAAAGTTACATATGAAATAATTGTACTCTTTTGAACTCTGATGTGTGGAAAATAAAAACATCTTCACTTCGGGATACATGTGTTGAAAAGATCAGCAGCAATGTATTCACGGTGTGTGAGTGTGCATAACTATCAGAAAAGGCAACATGTTTCAGATAAAGTACATTCTATTCTTAGCAAGAGAAGGACAATAAGAGAGTACATATTCTGTGTAATAGAAATGAAACAAATTGGGATTGTTGTACCAGGGTTTCAGAAGCTTACGATAACTCTTTAGCTCATCTTCAAGCTTTCTCTCTTCCTCTGTACACTCCTTAATGGCTTCAACCAATAGTGAGGAAAGCCTGTAAAACATCCAACCAACAGATACCTCAGTAAAAAAAAAGGCAAAGCCAATCACCAAACAATTTAAACATGAACGTATTGGTGCAATGTATTTACATTCAAGCCTTGGGATATTATATTAAATTGCATATAAAACAGGGGACTGTGTTCACATTTAGAACAACACATACCTAAGAACAGAAGAAATAAGAAAACTAGTTTAATTGGTAAGATCATGATTGATTTCTATTTCAACTGAACCTTCTTTCCTACTCCCCACATTCACTATTCTAAGAGACAAAAATATGTTTCAGTACACAATACATTCTAAAAAGACATAACCCACAAAGTGAAGAATTTTCTCAATATTTCAGTACTAAGTGACTGACCCCTTATTCCAAAGCTATGCTTCCAGCGTTTTAGATATCCCAGCTCAGGTACAAAATATGCCAATACCGAAACTGTCATGTTCCTTCACAATCGTGTACACTTCAATGACATCACGTCATTCCTTAGCCTGACGGAGCACTGCACTGTTACGGAGTCAGTGATAAGGGAGCACCACACTATTGGAGGGTCAGTCATGAAAGAAATTAGGGCCCTCAGCAAAATAGTATTTAAGTATCTTTTGCACTGGGTAAAATTCTTATGAAAATAGCTTTTATATTATTGATTAACAGGCAGGAACCAAGAAAAGATAGCGACACAGCTCATAAAAACTGTATGCCCTGTACCGAGGTCACTACGTTCCTGAATTAATGTCAAGACATCATCTGGTGTTCTCTTCAACCACTTATCAAGACAAGTTCAGAATGAACCAAAGAATGACCTTAAGCAGAGAGATGGTAAAGGAGGGAGGTAATTGATATACGGTAAATTGCCAGCGTCTAGAAATAAAGTATAACAACAATTGCCTGAAGACAGTAACACACTTTATCAGGTGGCAATGCTAGACAGGCAGCTGCCTTCTTCTGTTGGGAGATGGACCAGGAATGATGAGGAAGATAAAGGAAAGAGTTACTTAATACTTTAGACAGAAAGCAGGATGCTACTGAGATTAACACTCCCTTAGACAACCATCTAATTCTCTTCTAGTATCAGTGAACAGCTCTTCACTGTCATAGATTGCATTCTTTTCTTATATAGAGACATACTGCAGGGAAACAGACCCTTCAGTCCAACTACTCCATGCTGACCATAACCCAAAACTAAACTAGTCCCACCTGCCTGCACTTGGCCAATATCCCTCCAAACATTTCTTATTCATGTACTTATCCAAATGTTTTTTAAACATTGTAATTGCACCCACATCCACTACTTCCTCTGGAAGTTCATTCCACACATGAACCAGTATGTGTCACTTTAAAAATATGCCCCCTCATCTTGAAATCACACATAATAGGGAAAAGATACCTGCTATTCACCTTATCTATTCCTCTCATTACTTTATAAACCTCTATAAGGTCACCCCTCAACCTCCTATGCTCCAGTGTAAAAAAATCTCCACTTATCCAGCCTCTCATTATAAAACTCAAACCCTCCATTCCCAGCAACATCCTGATGAATCTCTTCTGAGCCCTCTCCAGCTTAATAATATCCTTCTAGAACTGGACACAGTACTCCAGAACAGGCCTCATCAACGTGCTGTATAACCTGAAAATAATGTCCCAACCCCTATACTCAAAAGGTCTAAGCAATGAAGGCAAGCATGCTAAATGCCTTCTTATCCACTCTATCCATACGTGATGCAAACTTCAAAGAATTATGTACCTGAACTCTTAGGTCTCTCTGTTCTACAACACTACCCAAGGCCCAACTTTTAATTGTATAAGTCCTGCCCTTGTTTGTTTTACCAAAATGCAATACCTCACATTTATCCAAATTAAACTCCATCCGTCACCATTGTCCCAATTGATCAAGATCTCTCTGTAATCCTAGATAACTTTGTGCACTGTCCACTATACCACCAATCTTGGTGGCACCTGCAAACTTTCTAATCATGCCTTCTATATTTTCATCTACATCATTTATATAAATGAAACAAAAGTGGACCCAGCACTAATCCCTATGGAACACCGCCGGTAACAAGCCTCCAATCCGAAAAACCATCCATCACAACTTTCTGAATACATTTAGCTAACACATTTAAATTGTTGCTTGCTAAACTCAAAATTACTTACGCACAGTCAATTGTCTACCTTAGGTACTGTCCATAATTTCAGAAACTGACCATATTCTGTTTGGTCTCCACTTTTTTTACACTCTCTATTCCCCCCCCGCGCCCCATGAGTCCTGTCTGATTCCAAACTGTTTCTCTCTGCAACGCTGCTGGCACCTGCTGAGTTTCTCCAGCATCCTGTATGTTTGTTTCAGTTCTCCTTATTGTCCTGGCCAATATATATTCCATGAATTAACATACTGTCTTGTCAATAACAAACTGCTATTTTGCTGGGTACAAATTAGTTACCGCGTTCTTTAAATTATAATACTTCAGAACTATTTCACTTTGCGAAACATTTTGGGCCTCCTGAGGATAGAAAGCGCACTATAGAAACACAACGGTGAACATAACGCCGTGCAATTTGCGAAAACTAGTAAGCAGAAGAGAAATACCTTCTTGCCTGCGGAGCCGGCAGCATTGCCCGAGACTAGGCCGTCTGCCCTAGGTCGGAATGCCGCCTGTTCCCGCCTTACGCGGCGCAGGCGCGTGTCACGACAACCGTTGCTAAGCAGCAAGCTGCGGCCTTTCTCGCAATCACCGCGAGATGGCACCAGAACCGGCCCTGATCCTGCAAGAGACAACAAGGTGCAGGGCTGGATGAACACAGCAAGCCAAGCAGCATCATAGGAGCAGAGAGGCTGACGTTTCGGGCCTAGAGCCTTCATCAGAAAAGGGGGAGGGGAAGGGGGTTTTGAAATAAACAGGCAGGGTGACAACCTTTCAAACGAACAAGAAACGATTAAGCAGGAAGCAGCCCTTAAAAGGACAGGTGAAGAAGGATCCTTAAACAGTTGAGAGGCTCTGACCAAACCAGTCATCACCATGAGAGAAAGTGCTTGCTGCTTACAAACACCTGTCTTCCATCAGACACCTGCGAGAGTTCGTCTTTCCTGCTGTGTTACATCTTTATTGAAGGCATTTTTATTGCCCCAGCTCAAATTCTTTGGAAATAATAGTGGATTCATGGCTCCAAGCCAAACCTGAAAGCCGCGGTTTGCAGGACACAGGCATACCTGGCTTCTGCTGGGGAATACCAAGAACTTTATGATAGCACGCCTGTCCAATTGGGCGGCACGGTGGCTCAGTGGTTAGCACTGCTGCTGCCTCACAACACCAGGAGCCTAGGTTCGATTCCACCCTCAGGCAATTGACTGTGGGGAGTTTGCATATTCCTCGGGGTGCTCTGGTTTCTTCCCACAGTCCAAAGGTGTGTGGATTAGCTAAGCTAACTTGCCCGTAGTGTTCAGGGATAGGGGGATGAGTCTGGGTGGGATGCTCTGAGGATCAGTTGGGCCAAAGAGCCTGTTTTCACACTGTAGGAACTCTATGGATACAATTCTTCTTCTTATCGTTGACCTTAGTGTCTGCCACAAGTTTAAAATTCTCAATCTTGCTTTTTTTTAAATTCCTCAATGGCCTAATCTGTCCTTCTCTGTAATTTATTGTAGAGCTACACTCCCTTTCTCCAAACTCTGCCTTTCACGAATTCCACTCCTTCACTGATTGATTCAATGTATTATTTTTGAGAATGAGTTGCAATTTTCCATGAAAGTGGGTGAGGTTGAATATTGAAATTCCAGCCTCTCAGTGATTTCAGCATAAATAGCTGCTTGTCCTGGTTTTGCAGCAATTGTCAATGGGAGAGGAAAGCAATGAAAGATTAGAAACAAAAGAGAGGGAGCACAGCAGAACTGTGCCAAGTTCATGGCTGTAAATTACAATGTTACTAACCCTTAGATAACTCCCTGGCAAGTAACCTGGGGAGGAGGGAATATCCAAAGAGTCCATTGGAAAATTAGCCAGGGTTTCATTCATTAATTGACCCCCTCCTTGAAAGTTTTATGTGAACAACTTCACAACTCTGTGTGAGGAATTTTATCCTGCCTTCTGTCTGAGTCTTTTATTTTTTGTACCATACATATTGTGGTTTCTCATACTTGATCCCTCAGCAGTTGTATACAGCCTGATTCTATCTATCCTGTTCCATCCTTGCGTAATTGGAAACATGTTTATTGTTGTGCTCCATAACCTATATTTTTCAAATGAAAAGAATGATTTTTCATTCATCTTCCTTTAAAATATAATTTTAAATGTCACATTTGAATGTATCTGTGTCATATCCTTGAAGCCTTAATATCCTTCCTATTGTGATGTTTCATTAAGGTTTTATAATAGTGATACCTTGAAAGTGTCCATATTATGGAGGAGGAACTGCTGAACATCTTAAAATGCATAAAGGTGGATAAATCCCTGGGACTAGATCAGGTGTACGCTAGACCTTTGTGGGAACCTAGGAAAGTGATTGCTGGGCTCCTTGCTGAGATATTTGTATCATCAATAGCCACAGATGAGGTGCTGGAAGACTGCAGGTTCGCTAATGTAGTTCCATTATTTAAGAAAGGTGGTAAGGAAAAGCCAGGGAACTATAGATTGGTGAGCCTAACATCAGTGGTGGGCACGTTGATAGAGGAGATTCTGAGGGACATAATTTACATGTATTTGGAAAGGCAAGGACTGATTAGGGGTGGCCAATGTGGCTTTGTATGTGGGAAATCGTGTCTCACTAACTTGTTTGAGTTTTATGAAGAAGTAACAAAGAGGATTGAGAAGGCAGAGTGGTGGGCGTTGCCTATATGGACTTCAGTAAAGCATTCAACAAGGTTCCGCATGCTAGACTGATTAACAAGGTTAGATCACATGGAATACAGGGAGAACTAGCCATTTCGATACAAAATTGACCAGGTAGTAAGAGACAGAGGGTGATGGCGGAGGGTTGCTTTTCAGACTGGAAGCCTGTGACCAACAGTGTGCCACAAGGATCGGTGCTGGGTCCTTTGCTTTTCATCATTTATATAAATGATTTGGATGTGAACATAGGAGGTATGGTTTGTAAATTTGTGGCTGACATCAAAATTGGTGGTGTAGTGGACAGCGAAGAAGCTTACTTCAGAGCACAACGGGACCTTGATCAGATGGGCCAATGGGCTGAAGAGTGACAGATAGAGTTTAATCTAGATAAATTTGAGGTGTTACATTTTGGTAGGGCAAATCAGGGCAGGATTTATGTACTTAATTATAGAGTCCTGGGGAGCATTGCTGAACAAAGGGACCTTGGCGTGCACATTCATAGTTCCTTGAAAGTGGAGTCACAGGTAGACAGAGTAGTGAAGAACGCGTTCGATAAGCTTGCCTTTATTGGTCAGTGCATTGATTGCAGGAGTTGGGAGCGATGTTTCAGCTGTACAGGACATCAGTTAGGCCACTTTTGGAATACTGCCTTCAGTTCTGATCTGCTTGCTATCGGAAAGATGTTGTTAAACGTGAAAGGGTTCAGAAAAGAATAATGTTAAAACAAAAAAGAACAGTTCTGAGGAAGGGTCACTGGACCCAAAATGTTAACTCTGATTTTTTCTTCTCAGATGCTGCTAGACCTGCTGAGCTTTTCCAGCAACTTCTATTTTTTGTTTCAGAAGAATGTTGCTAGGGTTGGAGGGTTTCAGCTATAAGGAGAGGCTGAAGAGGCTGGAGCTATTTTCTCTGGAGTGTCAGAGGCTTAAAGATGTGACCTTAAAGATGTTTACAAAATCATGAGGGTCATGGATAAGGTGAATAGTCAAGGTCTTTTCCCCAGGGTAGGGGTGTCCAGAACAAGAGGGCATAGGAAAGGGGAAAGATTTAAAAGGGACCTGACAGGCAACTTCTTCACGCAGAGGGTGGTGCATGTATGGAATCAACTGCCAGAGGAAGTGGTGGAGGCTGGTACAATTACAACAATTTAGAAATAGGTATATGAATAGGAAGGGTTTGGAAGGATTTGGGTCAAATGCTAGCAAATGGGACTAGATTAATTTAGGATATCTGGTCAATATGGATGATTTGGACTGAAGGGTCTGTTTCTGTGCTGTACATCTCTATGACTCTATGACTCTATATGGCCTTTCATTATCTATTGGTTTTTAAATTTCATATCACTTTATGATAAAGCCTAACATTCCAGTACCTTATGAAGGGTCTAGGCCCGAAATGTCAGCCTTCCTGCTCCTATGATGCTGCTTGGCCTGCTGTGTTCATCCAGTTCTACACCTTGTTATCTCATCAACTTGAAGTATTGTTTTCAACTATGTCCTGACGAACCTGGCCCTCATAGCCTTCTACTGTCCCAGGATGATCAGCACCAATACATTAAAAACCTGAGTGTAGAACAAGCTTTACTCTGTATTTAACCTGTGCTGCACTCGGCCTGGGCATGCTTGAAAACACTACTCTGTATCTAACCCCATGTCGAACCTGATTAGAGAATGCTTGTTTCTGACACATAGTGCCCAGAATGGACGATGTCTCCCTTTATAGTACCAGCATCTTTCCTTCAATGAGCAAGAATTTTAACAAAAACATAGTTTTCAAAATAATTGAAAACAAATAACGTCAAAGGAACATATAAACAGAAAACATCTGCTATCTTTTGCAGGGAAACACAGCTTGTGATAGTACTTTATTCCCAAAACATAGTTGAGCAGAATATTTGATTCACTTATGTTTACTCTTGGTAGATGAGCCAAAATGCATAAATAGCATTTTAAAGCTTTCCAAGTACAGCAACAGTTTCATTAATATTACATTTGCCTGAGATGGCATAAGAAGCTTCAGTTTAACGTCTCATCCTAAAGACAACAACTCTAAAAAGTATATTAGTGCCTCAGTGTCAGTCTGGGTTTCATGCTGAAGTCCTGGAATGGGCTCTGTCAATGGACAAGAATGATATTGACATAATGACCGAAATCTAATCTTTCCCGGTTACTTATTGAATTCAGTTTTCTTTCTTCTCAAGGGTTATGTACTGAGTTAATATACAAAGAGATATCGCTACAGAACAGTCAAATACAAATAAACTTAACCAACCACATAGTTTCAATCTAGGCAACAAACAACAAAGGAAACAACTCAACCCTTTTAAAGTAGATTTACAGTGATGTTGCTAGGATTGGAGGGTTTAAATTGAAGGGAAATGCTGAGGAGGCTGGAGATTTTTTCCCAGGAGCGTTGGAGGCTGAGGCATGACCTTATAGAGGTTTACAAAATCATGAGGGACATGGATAGGTCAAATAGTCAAGATCTTTTTCCCAGTGTAGGGGAGTCCAAACTAAAGGGCATAGGTTTAAGGTGAGAGGGGAAAGATTTAAAAGGAACCTGAGGGGCAGCTTTTGCATGCAGAAGATGGTTCATGTATGGAATGAACTACCAGAGGAGGTGGTGGAGGCGGTATAATTAGAACATTTAAAAGGCATCTGGATGGGTACATAAACAGGAACAGTTTAGAGGGATATGGGCGAAATGCTGGCAAATGGGACTAGATTAATTTAAGACATCTGGTTGGTATGGATGAGTTGGACCAAAGGGTCTGTTTCTGTGCTGTACATCTCTATGACTCTATATGGCCCTTCATTATCTGTTGGTTTTTATATTTCAAACGAATTTTTGATAAAGCCTAACATTCCAGTAGCATTCTTTTAAAAAAAGCTTGTCACCTTGAAGTACTGTTTTCAACAATGTCCTAAGGAATCTGGTCCTCAAAGCCTGCTGTGCCAAGATGATCAGTGCCAGTACATCTATATGGGTACAGCTTAGAATCACAGAGGCACACAAAATGATAGTAGGGTTTGTGTATAGACCCAAAACTGTAATGGCAATGTAAAGGCATTAAACAGGAAATTAGAGATGTAATAAAGGTACAGGTGTAATTATGAGCGACTTTAACCTGCATATAGGTTGGGCAAATCAAATCAGTAACAATATCATAGGGAAGGAATTCTTGGAATATGTACTCTTAGTTTTTTGGATCAATGTGTTGAGGAACAGGCCATCCTAGATTGGATATTGTGTAATGAAAAAGGAATAATCGGCAGTCTAGTCGTGCGAGGTTCCTTGGGGAAGAGTGAGCATAGTATGACCGAATTTTCCAGTAAAATGGTGAGTGATGTAGTTGATTCTGAAGCTAGGGCCCTGAACCTAAGTAAAGGAAACTACAATAGTATGAGTTGTGAGCTGGCTATGATAAATTGGGGAATGGTACTTAAAGGGATGGTGGTTAATAGGCAATTGCAAACATTTAATGAGTGCATGGAGGACCTGCAACAATTGTTCATTCCTGTCTGCCATAAAAATAAAATGGAAAAGGTGGCTCGACCATGGCTACCAACGTAAAGTTGCGTTAGTATTAGATCCAAGGAATGGGCATACAATTTGGCCAAAATAAGCAGCAGAACTGAAGCAGTTTAGATTTCAGCAAAGGAGAACAAAGGGATTGATTGAGAGAGGGAAAATAGACCAGGAGAGTAAGCCTGTGGAGAACATACAAACTGACTGTAAAAGCTTCTCTAGGTATGTGACAAGAAAAAATGAAGACAAATGTAGCTCCTTTATAGTTACAAACAGTGCCCACAAACTCTTCAAATCCTTCCTGTATTTAGACTTTTATTATTTTTAGTATTGTTGAAAATTGCCAGATGTGTCGAAGAAATTGTTTGTGGGTCACTGATCTGCTGTTTGCTCAGCTGTAACTCAACAGTCACTTCAAAATGTTAGGTTGGGGATTGGAGACAGGGTAAGCTTAAATACTTTACAACAGGCAAAACCCTTGGGATCTGCAGTTCTGTGTTTCTAAATAGTGAACAACGGCTTGTTCTTATAAATTATTTGGACCAGCTGTTTTACATTACTGCATCATACAGTCTTAAGTCATGCAACTGATTCTCTGAGCCTATAGATCAACTTGATCTCTTGGGCCCCATGTTCCTTTTTCTCTAAACAAGCAAAGCAGGATTATACATGGAACCCTGAATTAAGTGAATTTACTGAGCTACCAGGCACTACTGCAGCCACTGAAAGAGTTTTTTTTTTCCAGGGAAAGTTACATTTGCTGAAAAAGATCATTTTCTCATCAATCCATGATGTCAATAGAACAAATAAAAGAATATCAGCAATAACTTGCATTTATATAAGTGCTTTAAAATTGCAAAATGTTGCAAGGTGTTGCACAGACATAAGAAGAATCATACTCCTAAAGTGCACCTTCAGTAATTGGTGAGTTGAGTCACCTTGTTCATCATTCCGGGATAGCAGTGCAGAATGTCTGGAAGGAAGTGATATTGAGAATTAATACTATCAGCAACACTCTGAAGACAGGAGAGCTGGTGCAAAGTATGTCATTTCCAATCTGAGAAGATTAGTAATACACATCAAGCACCACATACCAGTTATAGTTCCATAATATTTTTATGTGCAGAGAACTTCAATGAAACTATCTGGCCCAATTGGCCTACACAAAATTTGCTCCATGTGCTTCACCAGGCTGGATGGAGTGTACAATAGGTCAGCATCACTGAGGAACAGACTTGGAAAGCAGACGTGCATAAGAAGAGCAAAGAGGCAGGAGATAAAAACCAGAGGCAAAGAGCCTTTTCAACCTATTTCTACCTGTCAGAACTGAAGCATGACTTCATTGAAAAACAAAGTAGATGATTGGTATTTCTTCCATGCCCCTTTTGATTGGCCAAGCGGTTTAAATGAGGAAATTCTCTTTTAAAATATTTAATATATGAATTAATTAACTATATAGAATAGAGATGACTGGGCAGACAATGTGTTTCAGCTGTAGCAGATAGGAGCTACTGGATATCTGTGTGATCCATAGTGACCATATCTGCAGCAAGTCATGGCTGCTTAAGGAACTTTGGCTGATAGTTGACGAGAATTCAACTGATGGTAATCTTATTGTGTCATACAAGATTCTGAGGGGGCTTGATAGAGGAGATCTTGAGAAGATATTTCCACTAGTGGGAAATCTTGAGCCAGGAGACTTATTTACAGATTAAAGGGGACACTCATTTAAAACTGAGGTGCAAAGGAATTTCTTCTCTCAGTTGTTAGTGACTGTCTGGAATTCTCTACACCAGAGAATTGTAAAGATGAGGTCACTGAAAATATTTAGTGTTAGATTTTTAGAAATATGGAGGAGTTGAGGGCTATGAGGAGTGGACATGAAAAAGGAGTCGAGGCCTAGGGCCATGATTTTATAGAATGGTGAGGCAAGATTAAGGGGCTGCTATTTTTGATATTCTTAAATGAACCTCCTGTTATCCCACTTAATCTGCAGCTGACCAGAACCTCTTGCTAATTTGAACATGTATATTATTTTCCTTCTTAGCCCATTTTGTTCTTGTGGAAAAGTTCTGTTGGTTTCCATCACTGGCATCATCTTTGTGAATTTCTTTATATCCTGTCCATGACTTTGACATTGTCCTTAAAGTGAGGCATCCAAATCTAAACACAATTTAGGCTTTGCCTTAGCTTTGACTTTGTAGGCTGTGTTCTAATTATGAAATAACCCAGGATCCTCACTTGCTGCAAAGCTGCAGGTGCACGTACGGATTACTTTGTTGTGACAGGACAAAAACAAAATACTGTGAATAGTGGAAATGTGGAATTTAAGAAGAAAATTCTATAAATGCTTGGTAGGTCTGGCAGCATCTGTAGACAGAGTTAACGTTTCACGCCAATGAAAAAGTCTGCAGAAGGTTAAAAATATAAGATGCTTCAAGCAAGTGCATAACGCGGAAATGTCGCAGGGGCGAGGGACTCAGGGGAAAATGGGTTTATGATAGCTGGAGAGTCAGGAGAGATTAAACATTTGCAAATCAACAGCGGAAAATACACGGACAGGTTTGAAACAAAAGTTATGACTTCTAGACTCTACATTGGGTGTAAATAGGAAAAAGTCGAACCATAAATAGCTTTTGTTCAAAAGAGAAAAATAGGTTATAATCTGAAATTGTTGAACTCAGTGTTGAATCGGGAAGATGTTGAAGTGCCTGCTGAATGTTTCCAGCAATTTCTATGTTTAGGTTTTAGTCGGTCCTGGATGATGTTAAATTCACAATTTCACTCAAGAGTTAGCAGGCCTGGAGAACGGAAACGACTCACGGAGGTGCGATAGGAGAGTCATTTTGAGATTTGATTTATACGACTTGTGTTTACTGCAAGGGGTACTTTGATCTCCGGGCCTCGATGGAGACATTGTGTGTCTAAAATTGACAGTCTCCCTCAGACTGGTGTCGTTAAAAACCCTTGGAGGAGATTTTTCCTAAAGAGTCGACGGCCAGTCTCGAACGACTATGATGAAAGGAGGGAACAGCATCGTCACTGATCTCAGTTATAGTTACAGGTGTCAGTAAGATTCCAACAGTTAATTGTATTAATCACATCTGGCCTGACGGAGGAGAGCCACGGGTATACATACTCCTTCAGTAGGTTATTGGAAGATGAGGAATGGGAATTAAATTTGTACAATAGTGACATGGATTTGTATCAAATTTCTAATGTTGTCTCAATGTTTAGCTTCGAAAACCCCATTGTGTTCTGCAGCCAACTCCAAAGAAGAGCACGACACTTTCTGTTTCTCTGTCCACTGATGCTGCCAGATCTGCTGAGTTTATTCAGCACTTTCTGATTTTACCTCAGATCTCCCGCATCTGCAGTTTTTTGATTTTAAGTTTTACAACTTTAGGTCGAGGTCCTGCTGATTACAAAAGGGTTGTTGACTTTGAAAAGGCGTCGGGGTTGGAACTGGAGCCCTTCCTGATCTGCTGCCTCCTCTGTCTCAAGTAGCTTCAGTCTTGCCGGTTCCCAGGGTCACCGTGCCCCGGCTGGGAAGTGGCCAGCGTCTCGCGTCACCAGCTCCATTTCAGGAGGAAATGGCTCACTTTCCCTTTTCTTCGACCTGTGGGCTGGAACAGGATCCTCCCCTCTCTGCCATTCTATCCGAATCCGCACAAAGAGCTGTTGTTCAATGAATCCCAGCGTGTCCCGCTCTGTTTCCTGTTGTCTGCGAGTTCTCTGTTCATATCACTTGCAGCTGGCTTGAGGGGGCGGCTTTGTTATGTTTGTTTGAGTTTTCTCTCTTCCGAAAATCTCTGCAAGTGCGAGTTTGAGTTCCGTATAGCGGATACATTGCCTTCCAGAGTGCGACGGAATAGCACATTGAGAGAAACGAACTCACCGCTCTGCAATTTAATTGAGAAATAGACCGCAGGACTCAGAATTTGATCAAAGGTAAGAATCACACAGGAGTTTCATCATTTGGAATCTGTCATAATTTTGTATGTCTCCTAAAGAAGGCGCATATTGTACTCCGGTGTAGTCATTCGAAGCCAGTTTATTTTAACACAGATCCTCTCTCAGGGAATGCATATTTTGTTTTACGACATGCTTAATTATCCGCATGTCGGGTCCGAACCACATTAACGAGCCTCACTACGCAGACTATCCATACCCTCGTATTGAGTTCACTTAAAACAACTGTCAGAGTTGAAATGTAACTTGGAAACTTGATGCTGCCGGTATCAAATCTCCCGGAGTTCATTCTCCCAAGTCACACTCCCATATGGATGCTTTAAGTAAACGTAACTTTAAGTAAGTTTCAAGTAAGTAATTTGCTCCTAAGTTTCAATCACTAAGAAATAAATTTGCACACAATGCACGACCAACCCCGTGATTGCTGGATACATTATGCTGCTTAATTTCCTGATTTGATTTATCGTTCATTTGTTTCGTTTCTCAAATTTGTGATTCAATTTCTCAAAAAAAAGACCTCCTAATATTTTAACCCGGATATTGAGCAGATGGGGGAAACATAGGGGGAATCACAGACGAGCACAACCTTTCCAGTTTCTTTCACCTTATGATACACGAATTGCAGCAAGTGTCACTGATCAGCGTGACGTTCCGATAGGCCGAATAGAATACCCGTACCAGGCAGCAGGGGCTGTTTTTTCAGGCTCGGATCCGCGGTGCTGATACATTTAGGCACAGACTTGCCGCAACGTGTACCTTCGAGTTGAGCAGCAAAACAAAACTCGACAACCTTCCGACTCCAAATATACACGGGGTTAATTTCATTTATAAACGTGCTGTGGAGAACACGTCTTGTGAATTTGGTGTTCGAACCTCAATCATTGGTCCGTTCGCCTGTCTGTATGGGAAACTCTGGAGGGTGCACACCAAGTTGTGTGTACACTACTGTCCCTAAATTATTAGCACTAATTTGTTTGATACCATATGGATCAGTAGTAGAAGATTCATTGGAGGTAATTTTAACTTTGAATGAAAATGTTGGACGTTGAATTATACACCTGCTTTGCACCGTGTTAGAATTTCCTCTCTATTCGATTTCGGCAACGGTAATATTACAGCAAACCTACTCGTCCGCCCTAGATCTCGCTTGGTATGGATGCATTAACCAGTTCCAATTCACAGAATCACAGAAGTGTTGCGGCGCGGAGGGAGGCCATTCGGCCTGTCTGTAGGAGCTCTTGCAATAAGCATGATTAATTCGTGTATATTACTTCGATGGAAATTTTTGTCTGATGCCCACTTGAGTATCGCAGTCGAACGTGCCTCCACCAACACTCCCAGGCAGTGAATTCCATACTCTAACTAGTTGTTGAGTGATAAAGATTTTTTTTTCATATCACATTTGCTCCTTTTGAAAACCACTTTAAATCTGTGCTGTCACATTCTTCCTTTTCGGAGCCGGAATAGTTTCTCTCTATCCACTTTATCTAGCTCGCTCACTATTTTGAAAATCTCTATCCAATCTTCTTTTAGCCTTCTCTCTAAAGTGAACAGTGACAGTCCTCAATCTGAGATAACAAGGTGTAGAGCTGGATGAACACAGCAGGCCAAGCAGCATCAGAGGAGCAGTAAAGCTGACGTTTCGGGTCTGGACCCTTCTTCAGAAATCTACCTCAATCTACCGTCTTAACTGAATTCTTGGAACCATTCCTGTAAATCACTTCTCCATTCTCTCCAATGAGTTCCAATTCTCAGAGGCCGTCTTGACCTGGGCGGAGTGGTGTGGAAATCCAAGTCATGTGACCTCATGGTTTAATGGCAGGACATCCTCTGCTACTATTTCATTTGCAGCTAATTCATGTTTGGCAATCTGACCAATAATCTGAGTTACTATTATGGGTAAGGAAACTTAAATGTGCCAAAGGGAGAGACCTTGTTTAAAGGACAGTCAGCAACATTCATTTAAGGCAGTACATACCGAGTGACTACTGGAAGGGAAGCTGAGTGGGAACTACTGGAGTTAGAGGAAAGGTGACTCCAGAATTTAGTGACTTCTCACATCAGGATCCACAATTCCAGAGTGGAAAAAAGTTATCCTCAGTCTCAAGGGACAGTCTAAAAAGGGTCTACAAATACTTTAGATATGTTAATAAGGTGGGCAAATATTTACCAGATGGAGTATAATGTGGAAAATAAGGACCTGTTCACTTTGACAGGAATAATAGAAAAATAGTAGTATTATTTAAATTGAGAGAGACTGCAGAACAAGGTGTTACACAGGGATTTGGCTATACTAGTGCATGAGTCACAAAATAAGGTAGAATGCAGGTACAAGAATTGATTTCAGAGAAGTTTACTTCACTCATTTCTGAGCTGAAGGGCTTATCTTATGAAGAGAGGTTGAACAGGTTGGGCTTTTACCCACTGGTGTTTGGAAGAATTAGAGGAGATCTTATTGAAATATATGATAGGGTGAAAACCAGAGGATTTTTTTTCTTTTATGTGGGAGACCAGAACTAGGGGAAACAGATTAAGAAGAAGATTAAGAGTAAGATAAGAATTTCTTTTCCTGAGGACCATTAGTATGTGTGTCTTTTTCCAGAGTATATTGGAGGCTAAATTATTTAATTTATTCAAGGCAAAGTTATAGATTTTGTGATAGCCAAGGAAATCAAGGATTATAGGGGAAGACAGGAATGTGCAGTTAACACCACAACTAGACCAGTCATGATCTTGTTGAATGGTGGAGCAGGCACAAAGGACCTAGTGGCCTACTCTTCCTCCTAAGTTGTATGCTTCTGTAGACAAGTGGAAATGGTCAGCATGTCTCATGAAGAAGACGTGGCTGGAGGTAACTGAGGAAGTCAGCAGCTATGAAATGATAACATGAATATGGATGTAATCCTGAAAGAGATTGAAAGATCTGGTATGCCCCAGAAAGGTGAATGGCATTTTTAATGGCAAATAGCACAACTGCATGCCCTAAATAGCATATGTGAGATATGAGGCAAAGTAATTGACTGAGTTTTGGGAGTGACTGGGGACCAAGATCTGCAGTGAGTTGCAGAGTTGACTCACAATGGCGGCCCATGATCAATCAAAGTTGATATCTACACTGCTAATAATAAACGGCGGCTTTCAGCAGGACCATTACAGCACATTGCTGGATATGCAAAGCGGCACAGACTGACCAGCATGGCTCAGGGATGAGACAAAAACTGTATGTGTTTTCAAGAGATGCTTTTCAGGATGCAATGGAGTAGAGAAGGATTGGAGGTGGTGTGACATTCGTATATGGAATGGTGCTGATGGAGGAGGAGGCATTGGACATAGGATGCAGCAAGAAAGCCTGTCACTGGAGATGAAGTGAGTGCAGAATTCATGAAAAGTGAATGACACAATTGGTGCTAGCATCAAACCTTCTGATGAGTACTAACTGTGGTGCCCTTGTGGGCCTAAATGAACACAAGAAGCTCCAGATCAAGGAGAGGCAACGGGAGTTGGTTCCAAGTGCAGCTTGTTAACATCACTCTTGTCTCTCCCACAGGACAAAAGCTGATGAGAGATTGATGTATCCAGGATCATATAAGACATCAGAAGAGGGGTTGTCATCTGACAATAATGCATCACATGAGCCCACTGCACCCTCCACCAGCATACATATACTGACATTGATGGACATTGGCATATGCTTAGAATGGGTGGCAGTAAATGGGTGAACATGGCACAGATCTGCATGAACAGCTGATGGAGATGATGATACCTGTGCCAACTCCCCATCAGAAGCTGTGTTTCATGCAGATGCTGAGCCTTGGATAATATCAGCAAAGTAGCGGATGCTGGAGTAGCAGCATGAGTTCCCAGAAGCTATTCACTTCCATATGCAAATTATGGTGCTCCATCCATGGCATGCCAACATGTAGTTTTCTCCATTTAGAGATGAAAACATGGAGAACCATACACATCATGCCACCCAATAGATTTAACAGGTGCAAGCTTCACAGTAAACCATACATCACTGTGTTTAGTGGATATGCAAATAGGCCCTGTCAGCTCAACCCATTACAAGATGTCCAATCACTCTAAATAAGCAGGGAATGGTGAAAAGGCCTCTATTGTGTGCAGTTTTGGGCCCCATATCTCAGGAAGGATGTACTGGCCCTGGAGTGGGTTCAGAGGAGGTTCACGAGAATGGTCCCAGGAATGGAAAGCTTAACATACGAGGAACGTTCAAGGACTCTGAGACTATATTCTTTGGAGCTTAGAAGGATGAGGGAGGATATAATTGAAACTTTCAGAATACTGAATGGCCTGGACAAAACGGATGTTGGGAAGATGCTTCCATTGGTAGGAGAGTCTAGGACCTGAGGGCACAGCCTTAGAGTAAAGGGAAGACCTTTTAGAATGAAGATAAGGAGAAACTTCTTCAGCCAGAGATTGGTGAATCCATGGAATTCACTGCCACAGATGGCTGTGGAGGCCAGGTCATTGAGTACATTTAAGACTGAGATAGATAGGTTCTTGATTATCAAGTGGATCAAGGATTATGGGGAGAGAGCAGGAGAATGGGGTTGAGGAACTTATCAGCCACGATTGAATAGCGGAGCAGACTGAATGGGCTGAATGGGCTAATTTCTGCTCTTATGTCTTATGGTCTAAAAGTTCAAGGGGAAGCTTTCTGAAGCCACTAGGTACTCTGTTCAAGGTGCTTCTGGTGTTGATGCTATATTTGTGATGCCTTTGAAGTGACACTAATTATGCATGAAGCCCCAGAAATAGGGCCTCTCTAGCACAAAGCTACCTCCTGTGCTGGAGTAGAAATGGTAGCAGCCTATCTTCACATCAGTTGGAGGCACTGATTAAATACAATGTAGGAACACCTGGAAACATTTGTGTAAATTCATTTAGTAAATTCATCATTTGAGGTCACAATAGGTGATACTTTTTGCTGAATGCTAAATATTATATATATGTGTAGA